AAAGATTAAACTTACCCGAAGGATGAGTCGAGCCGCGTAACGGGCCCGATGGTAGGGGTTGCCGTCGGACCGGACTTGGTCGTCCTTGGGGAGAATCGATTGGAGGTAGTTGAGAATTTGAAGGGGATCGGGGTTATTGTAAAGCCGAGAAGGCTTTTGCAGGGTCACAGGACGCACTTCCACGGGGGACGACTGCCCCGCATCCTTCTCGGTTACCGGTTCTTTTCCCTTTTGACACTCCTGGGAGTCGGGCACCAAAGTAGAATCCCTTTCGTCATGGGACCTCTTGCGATAACTGGAGCCCGACGGTTGGAGCGGCTTAGAAGCCGAAGGGAGTACCACTTTAGACCTCTTAGCGGCAGTCGTCTCGACTACCGCAGTTTGAGTAGCAGAGCCTGAACCTCCCTCAGACCCCTGAGGAGGGATAGGGCGAGTGGCTGGTTTGTTGGTCGCCTCGGCCTTCTTCTTCTCAAAGTGAGCCAAAGCTTTCACTGTCGACATAGATAGAGAATCAGTACGAAGAAAACAAGCATACGAACCACACACTTGTCAAAACAAACAAATACAAAAGCATACGTGGCCGAACTATCGATAGTAAGTCCAAACAAAAACTGATACAAACAGAGGAGCTTACTAGGGTCATTGAGTCGAGGAATACTCTTGTCGATACAATACCAACATGATTGATAAGGGAGTTATCCTTGGTCAATCGATGGGCACTCCATGTGTGCTTATTCAGTTCCTCCAGCATGCTCGCGAATTGTGAAGAGCGAGGACGCTTACGTTGCTTTGTCTTGCTGGTAATCCATTCATTCGAGAAGGGATATTGGCCAGGAGCAGGTCGAATGAAGAAATACTTCTTCTTCCATTCGGTAATATTGGAAGAAAGATCGTCAAGGAATGTAACGCCTACTCGACGGCCCAGACAATGGGCGTCTTTGCTAAACCTATACCCATAGCAGTAAAGGAAAAACTCGGGTAGAAAATCACCTAAAACTACGCGGGTAACAACTATGAAAGCTACCATTATTCGAATGGAATTGGGGGTGAACTGATTTATTGGTATATCGAAAAGGTTACTTAACGACAGTAACTCAAGTTGAATCGGGAAACGCAAGCCCGACATTATTTGATCAACAAAAAAAGTAAAACAACCCTTAGGAGGGTGACGGAAGTCGTCTTCGGGTGTGGGAGCAACCAAAGCCCAA